CAAGTGGACCTGGGCTACTGTTAGCGCTGTTGGGTTCATAGTTGGGGCTCGTCCTCGATGTCCGAGAGCCGTACCTCACCCTCGCCTCCTCTGTTGAGTTCGAGCCTGCCAATGTCCGCAAGGAGCTCCTGTGTGGTGCGCACGTAGTCAGTGGCACTTGGCCCGGGGGCACTCACAAGAGCTGTTGCCTGTGCTGGTTCTAGTGACTGATTTTCCGGTAGGGCCGCNTTTCCTGTTCAGTACCTGAAAAAGCCCCATTAGGTAGCCTAATAGCCAGCATAGTCCCTGCGTTGTCTCTCGCTAAGGCTTTATGCAGCCTAGCAGCTGCAGGAGTAGATGCTATCTTCTCACAAAAGATCCTGAATCTGCTACGCTTGGCCTTCCTAATCTCCTTATTGTATTTTGTCAGACTGACGGAGTACTCCTCCCAGTTCCCGGTGTGCTTTGCCCTGTTGAAAAGTCTCCGCACCTCTTTCCTAAGAACTGAGAGTTCCGGTGTCCCCCAGGGAGGCTGAGCTTTCCCCTTTGGCTTTGACACGGGACAGCTGGAGGTAAAGGCATCCAGAATAGTGCCGTTCAGCTTGTTGACCCTGTCCTCAAACTCCATACAATCCATCTTTCTATGTTGTGCCTCTATTCTGGTAAGGTTCAACCTAAGTACCTCTTCATATTTACCCCAGTCTATTTTCCTGGGGTTTCTCTTTGGGTGACCTGTGAAAACCTCAGCTCCCAGTGCAAATCGGATAATCCTGTGATCCGACAGTGAGGGCTCGGATGAGACCCGCCACTGAACGATCAGAGGACTGGCCAGTCTGTTGCTGAGAGTGATGTCAAGTACCTCCTCTCTGACCCTAGTTATGAACGTTGGTTCATTACCGACATTCTGGATGCACAGGTCTTCACTGATTATATATTTTAATAGGCACTCACCCCTACGGTTTGTGTCCGAGCTGCCCCACTCTATATTGTGGGCGTTCGCATCGCAGCTGAGAATCGCCGGAAGTCGTTTTCTGCGGAAAAATTCCAGCAGCTGCTGTACCTCAAGAGGCGGAACGTTGGCGTCGTCCCCCGGAAAGTAGGCTGCAGCCAAGACCACCTCCAGTTCCTTCCCGTTAACCCTTAAGGTAGCTTGGACCGCTACCAGATCCTGTGTAAGAAATTCTGTAATGCAAAAATAATTAATATTATTCTTCAGCACTATGCACGCTCTGGGCCTCTCGCAGGAGAGGTCCCAAATTACCTTATTGTTGTTATGATTGAGGCCCCTCATCTGGCCTCTGTAGGTCCACGGTTCCTGTATCAGTAGGATTCCCAGGTCCTCCGTGGCAAACCTGCTTGCAATGATCGCCGAGGCGGCTACCGCGTGATGCAAGTGGACCTGGGCTACTGTTAGCGCTGTTGGGTTCATAGTTGGGGCTCGTCCTCGATGTCCGAGAGCCGTACCTCACCCTCGCCTCCTCTGTTGAGTTCGAGCCTGCCAATGTCCGCAAGGAGCTCCTGTGTGGTGCGCACGTAGTCAGTGGCACTTGGCCCGGGGGCACTCACAAGAGCTGTTGCCTGTGCTGGTTCTAGTGACTGATTTTCCGGTAGGGCCGCGGTCGACTCGGTCGCTGGGGCAGCAGTGGAGTCAGTAGCCTCGTCGACTTGCTTGTCTTGGGACTCTGACTCCTTGCTGCCTATCGTCTTATGTCGCCATGGCCGCACCGTGACGTAGCTGTAGCGGAAGTTGACTATGAATCCGGCCCTCTTGATGCTGACAANTCTCTCGCTAAGGCTTTATGCAGCCTAGCAGCTGCAGGAGTAGATGCTATCTTCTCACAAAAGATCCTGAATNTAGTTATGAACGTTGGTTCATTACCGACATTCTGGATGCACAGGTCTTCACTGATTATATATTTTAATAGGCACTCACCCCTACGGTTTGTGTCCGAGCTGCCCCACTCTATATTGTGGGCGTTCGCATCGCAGCTGAGAATCGCCGGAAGTCGTTTTCTGCGGAAAAATTCCAGCAGCTGCTGTACCTCAAGAGGCGGAACGTTGGCGTCGTCCCCCGGAAAGTAGGCTGCAGCCAAGACCACCTCCAGTTCCTTCCCGTTAACCCTTAAGGTAGCTTGGACCGCTACCAGATCCTGTGTAAGAAATTCTGTAATGCAAAAATAATTAATATTATTCTTCAGCACTATGCACGCTCTGGGCCTCTCGCAGGAGAGGTCCCAAATTACCTTATTGTTGTTATGATTGAGGCCCCTCATCTGGCCTCTGTAGGTCCACGGTTCCTGTATCAGTAGGATTCCCAGGTCCTCCGTGGCAAACCTGCTTGCAATGATCGCCGAGGCGGCTACCGCGTGATGCAAGTGGACCTGGGCTACTGTTAGCGCTGTTGGGTTCATAGTTGGGGCTCGTCCTCGATGTCCGAGAGCCGTACCTCACCCTCGCCTCCTCTGTTGAGTTCGAGCCTGCCAATGTCCGCAAGGAGCTCCTGTGTGGTGCGCACGTAGTCAGTGGCACTTGGCCCGGGGGCACTCACAAGAGCTGTTGCCTGTGCTGGTTCTAGTGACTGATTTTCCGGTAGGGCCGCGGTCGACTCGGTCGCTGGGGCAGCAGTGGAGTCAGTAGCCTCGTCGACTTGCTTGTCTTGGGACTCTGACTCCTTGCTGCCTATCGTCTTATGTCGCCATGGCCGCACCGTGACGTAGCTGTAGCGGAAGTTGACTATGAATCCGGCCCTCTTGATGCTGACAAACGACGCCTCATCGATCCCCAGGTTGAGCCTGAGACCGTTGTCTTCGGCGCCGCATGAAACCACCTTCCACGCAGCCGTGTGGATATCCTCGTTCTGGGCCTGGATGAGCCCAGCACGTACTCAGCCGATTTCTAAGCGCATCTTGGGAAGAAGACCGAGATATTATACATCGGCGGGATGTCCTCCCCCTCTTNTTGCCCTGTTGAAAAGTCTCCGCACCTCTTTCCTAAGAACTGAGAGTTCCGGTGTCCCCCA